TTACACACACATAGGTAATTAATATTGTTAGCTCCAGTTGATAGAGGAGGAAGATGGGAATATAAGGTCACACACTGGATATGGAGAGGGCTGGTGATTTGAACCCCGTCTGACTCAGAATCCATACCTTTAAACCCTACGACTGTCTTGCAATCATGGCTCTCGTTTCAAAGTTCTTTCTTCAAATAGACACTTTCCTTAGGTCTTTCTTAAATGTCCTCTCAGTGAGGCCTTTTCCATGGCCATTCTAGCTAAAATTTATACACACACACACACACACACACTCCCTATGTCCTTTCTTGAGTAATTTTTGTCAACATTTATCATTATATTATACATTTCATTGATTTATCTAGCAATTATCACAAATTACTATTTGTTCTTTACATTTAATATGTCTCCTGCACTAGAAGTCAGCTGCAAGAGGGCAAGAATTTTCACCTGTTTTGTTTGTTGCTGGGTCCCCTGTCACACAGTAGGCACTTGGCAAATATTTGTGTAATGAATGAATGAACCCTTCCTTTGTGTAATGAATAAGTGAATGAATGAACCCTTCCAATGACGGCTGATTCCAGGCTGCCTTGCCTGGACCCTGGCTGGCCCTGGATTCACCCTTCGAACTCCCATGCTATTTACCACAGACATATTGGCTCTGTTTACAAATATTAATGTTTAAAATCAGAATTACACCAATTCAGATGAATTTCTATTGAGAAGGTTTGCCCTTGAGTGAATTTTCAGCCAATGTAATTCCTCATTCAATGCCATACAGTGATGAAGTTAACACAAAGCCAATTTTGGCCATTTTCACTTTCTGAAATTATTTTCACTGGGATGACTCATTTTCAGGTTAATCTTTACAGTGATGATTAGATCCTCACATTCTTATCTGTGTCATATTTCATCAATAATAGCTTTGCCCCAGATATCTCAACCTCAGGCTGCTCCTTGAACATCTTGAGCACATTCTTGCTTCAGGAACTATACTGGTTGTTCCATCTGCCAGAAATGTTCTTGCATCTGTAGTCTTTCTTCATAATTTTTTCTCCTCAAAAAAAAAAAAAATCACCTTTCAACAAGGCCTAAGCAGACTACTCTATTCAAATACAATCTTCTCCCATCCTGTACTCCTAATCCCCCTTACTGCCTTTATTTTTAAATTATTTATCTTCTTAATTGTGATATAGTTGACTTGCAATGTTTCAAGTATAAAATGATTCAATTATATACACATTGTTGTTCAATCACTAAGTTGTATCTGACTCTTTGTGGCCCCATGGACTGCAGCATGCCAGGCTTCCCTGTCCTTCACTATCTCCTGGAGTTACCTCAAACTCATATCCATTGAGTTGGTGATGCCATCTAACCACCTCATCCTCTGCTGCCAACTTCTTTTGTCTTCAATCTTTCCCAGCCATATACATATACATATATATCTTATCCTCTGTCATCCCATTCTCCTCCTGCCTTCAATCTTTCCTAGCATCAGGGTCTTTTCTAATGAGTCAGTTCTTCACATCAGGTGGCCAAAATATTGGAGGGATGACAGAGGATAGACTGTCACCACCTCTATAATCTCATCTGTAACTATTCTTTTTTTTTTCCATCTGTAACTATTCTTCTACAGGAAGATTCCAGTGACTCTAATAAGCACAATATTCCAGCCACACTGGCCTTCTGGTGGAATTTATCTCCTCTGTTGGTGTCCATGCTTGTTTACTTCAGTCTTACCCACGACCTTGAGGTAAAGTCTATGAGGACAGAGACTGTCTTCGTTTGTGTCCCTCTGGAAGCTGACCCTGAGACAAAGATTGAAGTCAGGAAGCACCTGTTGGGCAGTGGGAAGTGAGGAAGTGAGACAAAGGAAGGGCAGTCAATGAAGAGTGTTACTAAGCGACTTAGCACTGGGCCTTGTTCCCACTGTGGAGTTCTAAGGACTGATGGAGAACATAGACCTCAGGCATGTCCCATCTGAGGGGCAAGGGGGAAGGGGTATTTATCTACCAGCTCTTGTCAGTCACTGGCTGAGGGTTGCCGCCAGGAGGTGTTCATTTCCTGGCCCCTTCCAGCCTGCCAGACCCGGAGGCAGAACAGCCTTCTGCAGTTTGAGAGGAAGCCCTCTAGCCAAGAGATGCAAAACCAGGCAGTTGCCAGTTGGCCAGCACACGCTGAAGCAGTGAGGTCACAGGGTTATGGGCAGGGAACTGACAGTGTCTGCCACAGGGACTGACCATCCTGTTCACTGGGCCTTGCCCATAATAAATGCTCCCCTAGATTGAAGGATGAAGGTGCTTGTTACCTGTTATGCTGCTGGAGCAAAGCTGGACCCCAAATACCAAGGTTCAAATATCCTTGGGGCCAAACAGCAGGATGAAAACATTGACTTTAAGTCTCTGACTACTCACACTGGACTCCACCCCAACCCTGTGAAATTCCCGAGGACAGGGATCCTGGTATCTGTCATTCCTGGTGCCCTGTCAGGGCTTGGCACACAGTAGGATTCAACTCCCAGCCCTTCATCCCAATGTGGTCCATAAAAGGTCAGTCAGTAATCAGCATGGCTACGATGAAACAGGTGGGGAGTGCCATGTGATGCTGAGGACGTGGCATTCACCACTGGGGAAGCATAGATTGGAGAACTGGCATGATTTACACAGCTGACCATATGTCTACTCCCATGATTGAACAATTGCATTCTTGGGTATATGCCCAAGAGAAATGACTGCATATATCCATCAGAAGATATATACAAGAATGTTCACAGAAGAATTATTCTTAATAGCCCCAAATAGAAAATTACCCAAATGCCTATCAACAACGTAATAGATGAAGTGTGATCTACTCATAGCAATGGAAGAGAATACAGCAGTGAACATGGGCAAACTACAAGTTCCATAACAACATGGATCCATCGTGCAAACATCGTTAAGATCAAAAGTTGTTAGAAGTCCAGAAAGTGATTACCCTTGGGGTGGAAGATTGGACCTGAAGGGAGCTTTTGGCATTTGTTTCACATTCTTTTTTTATTATTTTTAACTGGAGGATCTTTGCTTTACAATGGTGTGTTGGTTTCTGCCATACACCAGTAAGGATCAGTCATAATTTTATATATAAGATTATATATCTATTTATACATAGATATATAGATATAGATATAGATATCTCCCATCTCACCCCTTTAGGTCATCACAGGGTGCCAGACTGGGCTCCATGTGTTATATAGCAGCTTCCCACTAGTTATCTATTTTATACTTGATCGTATATATATGTCAATGTCACTTTCTCAATTTGTCCTACCCTCTCCTTCCCCTGCTGTGCCCACAAGACCATCCTCTACTTCTGCATCTCCATTCCTTTCCTGCAAATAGGTTCATCAGTACCATTTTTCTAGCTTCCATATATATGTGTTAATATATGGTATTTGTTTTTCTCTTTCTGACTTACTTTATTCTGTATAACAGGCTCTAGGTTCATCCACCTCACTACAACTGTCTTAAATTTGTTCCTTTTTATGGCTGAATAATATTCCATTGTGTATGTGTGGTATTATCTTTATCCATTCATCTGTCAATGGACATCTAGGTTGCTTTCATGTACAGGCTATTGTAAATAGTGCTGCTATGAACATTGGGATACATATGTCGTTTTGAACTGTGGTTTTCTCAGAGTATATGTCCAGTAGTGGGAGTGCTCCCTTTACACACTAGTACTGTCTGCTCTGGAGCTGTCCTCAAGTTGGGAGACTGGCCCCACAGGGGAGCACTCAGGGAATGACACTGCTCACTTCCAGGAAGGCTCAAATGGACATTGCTCTCACCTTAGCCACATACAAGTGAACTAAGACTCCTCTCGACTCAAAAGTTAGGGATACGCATCACCTGTAGTGGAGGGTTCATTAGGCCAGATGTTCTTCCAATAGCCAGTGACTAGGGGCTCTTGTACTTTCCGATGTCCCAGGCAGGGACACTCACAGAGATGGGAGCAATGAGTGTATGATATGGGAATCTGCAAGCTGGAGCTGTGGAAGGGGGCCATGGAGAAGAGGGCAGAGATGCCAGGAGCATGAAGTGGAGTCCAGATGCCGAGTTAACAGGGATCTTAGGAGATATTCCCCAGAAAGAAATAAAGAGAGCAAGTGTCCAACTCTATCCTCCAGATCCAGAGACAGAGAGAGTCTGAGAATGAGTTCCTGATGCAAGCAGATGGCCTACTCCCAGAAAAAAAGAATGTTTGGGGGAAAGGCGGTGGGGAGAGACTTCCTGCTCAAAAGAGAGACAGAGAAAGACAGAAACAGATAAGGGGGCAGGGAGAGAAATAGACACATATGCACAGACAAGAGAGATGTGCATCCTGAGTCAGAGAACACTCAGATTGGGACACAGGGGAAGAGAGAGGTATCCAGATTCACCAAGACACAAGGCAGAGGTAAAAACTCAAGCACTGAGAAAAACAGAGAAGAAGGTAGGGAGGGAGACAAACACTCATCCTCAGCAACAGAAAATCCCAGCTCTGAGCCACCACCCTCAATCCCTGGTCACCCTGGCCCTTCTTCCAACATATGCAGTCCCAGTGTGGTAGCTTTTTTTCTAAAGATGGCTGCTGTCCATTTCTTCTCATGTGCTACACCTTGATGCAGAGGAGGCCTGAGCCGCCATACAAAAAACCCAGGCTATTCTGCTGGAGAGAGAAGCCACATAGAAGACTCAAGTACCAAACATAGAAATAAAGAAGCCATCTTGGGTGTTCAACCCAGTTGAGCCTTCCTATGATTCCAGACCCAGCCACCATCTGACTGCAACCACCCAAGTCTTCAAGAAGGACCACCTCGTTGAGCCCAGTCAACCATAGGACCATGAAACATAATATTAAATTGTTTTAAGCCACTAAGTTTTAGGGTGTTTGTCACATGGCAACAGACAACCAGAATACCCAGAAAAGGCACCCCTACTCCGACGCCCCCACTCCCGCATCCCTCTCACAACAGAAGCCACACCAGCCAGTCATACTTTCAGTCCCTTTAATTAGGGGCTCTGAGGAGAAGGCAGAATGGCAGGCAGGGTAGAGAAGGTGGTGCTTCTTATGCCTCTTTTGGCAACCAGTTAGTCCTCATCCTCTGGCAGCTGGATCTTGCTGGGGTCAAAGCAGTTGGATTCCATGATGGGGAGGCCATGGGCCTCTCGGTATTTCACAAGCCTCTCAGCTTCCCGGCGGGCCCATTCCTGCATCCTGGAGGCAGCAGCATGGGGGAAGACATGAGGGAGCCTCAGTGGACATCAATCCCCATCTTAATTCCCCAGGGAATGGACTCCTGGTGGTCTCCTTCAGTCTCCACCCTTGCCTCTATCCCCACCCATCCCACTCTCTTGGACACCCCACGTACCTGTAGTCAGGCAGATAAGCCACAAAGGTGCTGCCAAGGACCAAGACGATGGAGAATCCGAAGAAGAAGACAACCCTCATGTTCCAGACGTCCACAGCAGGGTCCTTGTCATAACCGTGAGAGTCTGGGTTCTACGGCAGAGAGAAGTCAACGAGGGCTTCCTGCTGCTCCACAAAGCCTGATGCTGGTCCTGTATAACTTGGTCTCCAACTTTACCTTGGACCAATCTCTCCTCCCTCCCTTAATTCCTGTCTGTTCTTAGGACTTGTCAAGCTCCTTCCCACCACAGAGCCTTTGAACTTGCTGTTTCTTCTGTCTGGATAGCCTTTCCCCCAGATTTAGTCGGGGCTGGATCTGTCTCCTTATTTGGCTCCCTTAGGAGGCACTCCCTAGTCACCTTATCTATTAAGTTGACCTATAGGAAATTGACATTTTTACAGGTCAAAAATGATTGATATTCGCTATTTCCTATGGCTCAACCTCATAACTCCCTACCCCCAAGTCACTCTGCATCCACTCATCTTATTTAACTTTCTTTCAAGCATTTATTAGTTTACCAAAGTAGCATATCCTTCAAATACTCTGATCACATTATATTATTGGTTGCATACCCTATCTTACTGTTTACTAGTATTTTACATGTTTATTTTCTGTATTCTCCACTACCATGTAAGCTCTATGAAAGCAAGGGCTTTACCTGATTTCTATACTGCTGAATTCATAACACCCTGAACTTAGCCTGGCATACAGCAGGCCCTCAATACATAGCTACAGAATGCATGAATGAGTATCCTATATACCCAAGCCCCTCAACAAGAGGTCAGTATGGATGAAGCATCTATTATATGCCAGGTTTTTTCACAAGCACAAGTTGCACAATATCCCAGTGAGGTGGAAAGTGGCAAAAAAAAGAGAACACCTTCTAATGGAGAGTATTTACTAAGTGCCAGCTGCTGTTTTGAGCATTTTGACTCATTTAAATACCGGAGGCACATGTAGTATTTTATTCTTTTAGAAAATGTCCTAATACTTTCCCCATCTTACAAAGAAACTGAAGCATCAAGGGCTTAAGCTACTTGCCCAAGGTCAATGCCTGTATTCCAACTAAGGCATTCTAATTTCAGTCCGCTATCAGATAGCACAGCAAACCTGTTTCTACCACACATTCAGTTATGTGAGCTTAGGCAAGTCACTTAACATCTTCACGCTTCAGTTTCCTCATCTGTAGAATGGGTACACCAAAACCACCTACCTCGAAATATGGTTATTATGAGAACTAAATGAGTTAATGTATGTAAAGTGTTTCAAACACCTGAGCAAGCACCACACCAGTGTTTAGTAACATTGTTGTTACTCTATATTGCTACAAACGTGCTTTGAACATTGCCCACTTCAGGTTTGATGTCTGTCTGCAAAATAAAGCCAATCTCTGACCCTGAACCCATACAAAGGAGGAAACAAGCTAAGCAGAATTTCCAAATCTTCGAAGATTTCGCCAGCTGCGCAATTCCCACCCGACTAAAACCGTCCTCTACGGCGCCCTATCCGCCGGTCCCCGATTGACCCTTCCGGCGTCCCGTTTCCCCTCCCTCTCACCTTCTCATAGAGGTTTTCGTCCTCGGGGTCTGGGTCCTCTTGCCAGCGTATAGTCGGTTCTAACGGCCGCTTTCCCGCCAGAGTGGACGGGGCGATTACAGCCCTGGAGGAGCCGGATTCCCAGCGAACACGGGCAGCCGGGAGCCCTCGCGTCGCCGCTACTGCCAAAAGGCGGCGGCCACACAAACCCAACATCCCAGCCGCCATAACAGATCGTTCTTCAAGTTCTCAGGGTCGGGGACGGAAGTGAGACTCTGCGCAGCTGCAGTTGGCCTGAGGGCGAGAGTTGTCGCTCCGCCCCCGCCACACTAAATAGGTCCTGAATCGGGACTTTGCTTTCGAATGGGCGAGAGGTCCTCTTAGCCTCACTCTGTCATGACCACAGTCAAGCAACCACCTTCTTATCCTCAGTCAGACTATGGAACTTCTGACCGCTAGGCTGTGGAATTTACTTGACGAAAAGAAAGCAATGACACTTGCGTGGATGTCCCTAACCAATCGCGCGGAGAGCTGCCTCGCCCTCCAGCGAAAGGGGCGGAGCTTCCATTTGTCTTTCATCTCCGAAGGAAGCCAAGCTTCTAAAACGCCAGCTTCGTCGGATTGGCCAATAGCTACCGCTTTTCTCGACTTGCAGCCTTTCGCAAGGGAGTGGGGAGGTGGCAATAAGCTTGCCAATCAGAGTAGGCCAGGGATGACCGAGGGCGGACAGCGACCAATAGACGCGGTTGGCCAGAGCGCGCTCCCTTAGTAGGTGGATGGTGGTCGAAGCGCCGGCTCCTTTCTCGTCGTCGCCATTTTGTGCTGGTGATCGCGGCCGGCTGGGAGTAGGTGGCAGTGGGTTTCCCGGGGAGGGCAGCGCGCCTGGCGCTTTTCCCCTCCCCCTCCCCCGCCCTTTCGCCTCCAGCCTCGGATTTGGTAGTTGCACGGACCGGCTCGGGTAGAGCTGGGAGAGTTGGAGGAGGTGGCGGCGGGCCGAGGTGATGTCCGGGAGCCCTCCCTTGACAGTCCGGGCGGAGAAGGTGAGCGTCGACGCTGGTCGTGGGGGCGGAGGTAAGGGGCCGGGGGTGGAGGGGGTTGCCTAGAGGAACCGCGAGGGCGAACTGTGGTCGACGGGTCTGTGCTTCGCGCAGAACCGACCGATGCTTGGCACAGTCTGAGCCTGGGAGAGGGTGTCTTTTTTTGTTGTTTTTTGTTTTTCTCCTTTTGAGAGCAGAGGCGCGTGCGCGATTGGGGCACTGGATGGGTGCACGCGGGTTGGGGGAAGGGAGGGACGGATGGGAGTGGGCTCCTATGGCTCACTGTGTCTGCGAGGCCGAACTTTTTCCGTGGGAGGCCGCTGTCTGCGACTTTTCTTTTTAGCTGAAAAAGTGTGCTCTCTGCTTTCGTGTGTGACTTTGGTACTAACCAACCCATGGGGAAGTGTTCTGTGGCTCTGGTCCTTATTCTTGGGTGGAGGAGAAGGGAGATCGTCGGTCTGACTCCGGTCTCTGTCCTCGGAACCTCTGTCTGTAACTCTGGTCTTTATCCATGGGGAGGGGGTCCTTACCCATAGAAAGTCTTATTAGGGCTGGCCATAATCCATTTACTGGGTGGGGGCGGGAAGTGCAAGAAAGGTGTGTAAGACTTGACTGCTCCTTTTTTGGGGGGGGAGGGGAGGTTCGTATCTGTTACTCTGATGCTTATTCTGTGAAAGGGGGCCTGTGTGATTATGGCCCGTATTTATTGTGGGTTCCTGTCCGTGGTTTTGGCCTGTAGTTCTTTGGGGCTCGAGCCTGTGACTTGGGTCCCTATCTGTTATGAATGCCTTTGCCAGATGTACTGAGGGTTTTGTCTCTGGCTCTCATCCACTGGGTTCCCTGGTTGTGATTCTAAGTCTTACCCATCTGGGAGCAGGTTACTCTCATTCCCTAAGACTTGAGGAAGAAGAGAAAATTGGTGGGAGTGTATACATGGAGGAAAGGTGTGGTGGCAACCTAGTGTTGGGCAGGTGCTGTTAACGCCTGACTTTTGCTTGATTGTTGTTCAGAGGGTGGGGCCTAAAGATTCAGGGATACTTTGTGGTGACCCCTGGCCCGGTCACATGGCTCTTGGCCCTCCTTAGTTCTCACCGCGGCCCTGAGGGTTGCCATGAAGTGACTGCTCTCCCATTCCAGCAGAATAACACGGTGCTTCAAAACAGGCTCCAAAAGGGCTGCTTTTAACCTCTGAATAACTTGGGCCCAGAGCCGTGGGTAGGGAGCTGTCTTGGGGAACCTGGCTGTGCATAAGAGACAGGCTTAGGCCCGAGCCAGTTGCCGAGTGAGGGCCAAAACTGTGTTGGCTCAGAGCCTAGGGAGGCGGCAGCTGTCTCATTGCCAAGTTCGCCCCTTTAACCCTGGAGCCTTTCATGGTCTCCTGCTGTCTCATAGTGGGCAGCAAGTATCTTCTTGGGAGGATGAAATGGCACCTGGCCGCTCATAGAAGGAGCCTGGTGGGTGCCTGGGACTCCTGTCATGAAAACTTGCCTCTGTGCCTACTGTGCCCAATCTCAGACAAGTCATCCAGCACCAAGAGCCCCCCCTGGGCAAGTAGCTCCAGGCTTGAGCTTGTCTACCAGTCTCAGATGGCAAAGCTGTGATCCCAGGATGGGTGGCACCACCAGGTCTCTCTGCCAGATGCTCCGTGCCTGCCGAGGGCCATGCTGTTTCCAGGGCGGCCGGCTCTAGCCTCACGTTTGTAGGGAAGGGAAGCAGCAGGCCAAATAAGGGTTGCCTTCCTGCTCCAATTCTCAGGAGCCCTAGGAATTGGGATACAGCGTTGCTGGGCTTGGGGACAGCAGAGAGCCTTGGCACCAAGCGTTTCTCAAGGAGACCCTCTCTGCCGCAACTGCCCTGACCTCTTTCTTCCTTCTGCTGTCCCAAGAGTCCCTGCAGGAGGCATCACCCAGGCTGGCAGATCATGGTGGCAACACTGGGGGTGGCTGGGAAGTGAAACGCAGCCAGCGGCTGAGGAGGGGCCCCAGCAGCCCTCGCAGGCCCTGTCAGGACATGGAGTATGAAAGACGGTGAGTTCCCCGCTAACCCCCACCCTCTCCCAAGCAGCTTAGGTTTATCCCTGTGTGAGAATCGACCCAGGAAGGTGCTTGGAGGGAGCATCTGGGCAGGAAAAAGCCAAACAGTTCCGCAGATGATTGGTTTCTTTTCAGCAAACATGTACTTGGCACTCAAGAGCCAGGATGTGTACTGGGTTCTGGGAGTGCATTGATAAACGAGACAATTAAGATTGCAGCCTTCTCCTCACTTAGGGTCTCACAAGGGAAACCACACAGTTTCCGGTTGATAGGTGCCACGTGTGGTTGCAGGGCGGGAAGGGATCAAGAGAAAGGGAGGCATGGAGACTGATGCCCAGGTTTGCACTTTGGATGACCCAGGTGGGTATGGATGGTATGGACAGCCATCGCAGGACAGACAAAGATGGGTGACAGGTGGGCAGTTGTTGGGTTGTAAGTGCCTGTGGATTCTCAGGGGAGAGGTGTGGGCTGTAGCTTTGGGTGTGAAGAATGGATCGTGGGTGGTTTGCCTTCAGAGTCAGAAATTTGCCCAGAAAATGTATGGGGCAAACCAGGTCAGATAGTGTTACTCAACCATGGCCTTTTTAAGATCTAGGATTCAGGGACAGGATGGGCTGAAGTTTGTGTGGACACTCTTATCCAGTTATTTTTAAACTCTGGGACTAACCAGAAACAGTTGGGACACTTGGTAAAATACAGAGATCCTAGACCATACCCTTACCATACTGGTGGATCACCTTACTTGATTCTAATGTAAATGATTCATTCCTGACATTTAAAGATTGTATAGAAAAGTAGACCTAACCGTCCCAGAAAGCCTCTATCAAAAGTCAATAGATTTATGAAAAAGTCAAGGAGGAAATAATTTTTTATTGCCTTGCAAAGGGTTTCTGCTACCACCCGCTTTTGAAAAATGTAGAATTATAATGTTTTGGTTTCTGAAAAGTGATGAGCCCGAATTTGAAATGTGGTTATCATCAGGTGTTATTCAGCCTTGACCTTTCAAAATGTCTTGTGAAAGGCATTCGATTTTGGATGGTATTCAGTAGAAGTGCTGTGTGGCAATTTCTGACTTTGAGTAGGTAGCTTACTTGCCTCAGGCTTCATTACGAGGTAAAGCCACTGGCTTTCTTTTGGCTTTTGAAGAACCTCAGGTACAAGGGTTTGAATTAATCATACTTTTCCAGTTCAAGGTACGTTTCTATCACTGGTTGGTACAAGACCGCCTCTTGCCATATTTATTTTTTCCTGTTTTATTTGCAATTCCCATAGCTGTAGGCAGCTGCTCTGTTGTCTTTGAAATGTATCCTTCTAAAATATGTGGTATTGTTTGGAGTGTTTTCAATTTACAGAAATGGCAGAATGCTACAGTCTTCATTCTGTTTCCTGAGCTTTATATTACTCAGCACTGCATTTTAAAGATCTGTCTGTATTGCTACGTGTATGTTAGTGCTTTGCTTCTAATTGGTCCCAAGGACACCATGGGGTGTGTCTGCTGCCTCTTATTTAATAATTCTCTCAAGGGTGGATACCTGTTCTTAATTTTGGTGTGCTGAAATTCATCACTTTTTTTGTCTTAAAATCTGTCCTTTGAAAAATCTTCCCTATTCTTATCTCTGGATCCCTAACTTTATTTACCTTTTGCATTCAGGTCTTTAAATCCATCTAGAGTCCACTTTTAAATATGTTATAATGTAGGTTCTGGTTTTATTTTCCTCCATATAGTGGGCAGTGTTCCTAGTATCACCCCCAAAATAGGTCATTCTTTCTTTATTGATTTGTGGTACCTCATCTCATCTCAAGTTCCCTCATGTACATGAATCTGTCTTGAGTGGTCTGATTTGTTGCATTGGTCTTTTTGCTATTCTTGTACAGAACCTGAGTGTTCTGTGGCCTTATAGAATGTCTTAATAGCGCCTACTCTGCTCTTATTTTTCAAAGTTGACTTAGTCATTTTGTAGCTTTATGTAAAAAGTTATCAAGTCTTTCAAAAAGTTCAAGAACTTTGAGATTGCATTAAATTTATATACTTCAGAAGAATTGTCATCTTTGTAAGTAGTCATCTCATCCTCTTAAACAGGTCATAACGACCTACAAGGTTTGTTTAAAGGACATAAAAATCTGAATAAACCAAAATACAGGTCTTGGGTATTCCTTTTTTCCCCCCCATTGATGTATGGTTGATACACATTATTTCAAGTGAACAGCATAGTGATATATTTTGAGAGGTTACATTCTATTTATAATTATTACAAAATACTGACTGTTGCCCCCTGCTGTCCAATGTATCTTTGTAGCTTATTTATTTTATACATAGTTGTTTGTACCTCTTAATGCTCTCCCCTATCTTGTCCCTCTCCCTTTCCTTTTCTCCACTAGTAAACCACTAGTTCTCTATATCTGTGAATTTATTTGTTTTGTTATATTCACTGGTTTTAATTT